CATATGTATTTATTTATTTTTGTGTAAATAAATAGGAAAGGGTCTACAGGGTGTTCAGAGTCTCACTATTATTTTGGACCCATAGTGATCCACCTGTTTACAGCCTCCTAAGAGCTAGGATTACAGGTACGTGCCACCACACCCAATCTCAATAGTCATCTCAGTGCACCTGGGGCTGGGGCCGGCACAGCAGGCCCAGGGATCGAACCCTGGCCCCTGCACCTGCTTACAGGTGCTTTAATCCGCTAAGCTATTCGGCCAGCCCTAAAAAGGACAAATTTTAATTACAAATTGTCTTGTCACTGTCGTTTTAACACCTGTTGCCAAATCAGTCAATGCTTTAAATCATTTATGTAATCAAAGGTACTACATTAAAAAAATTACTGATTATCCTCCTTAATGAGGGTGTGTAGTTTTAACCAGATACCCTGGCATACTTTAAGCAACCTTTGGGGCAGGAGAGGTTTGCTGAGGTTATAGCCAGGCAATAATTTTTAGTGGTTGCCAATTTCTATGGTGTAAATGTGTCTGGTTTCTAGCTATCAAGGTACTGTTATTATACAAGGAATTGGAAAGATTTATGTACAATTAGTGTGAGCTGGTTCCAATTCACTATTGCCTTTAAAGAAACCACACAAAGTTTGTTTCTAAAACAAGTACGTTCAAAAAGTACTGCATAGAAAACCTTTCAACACTGAATCAACCCACACTGAAACATGATTACTCTTATTAAATTTTCTTATACTTAACTTTGTAAGAAAAGATCTAATTTGAATATACGTATAAATACTGCCATGTGTGTCATATATTTTGCGTATTTTCAGCTTACTTAATGCATAACTGTTAAAGATTTTCATATTCTGATAAAAATACTCCTAAAATTGTATAAAAATATATCCAGTACCTAAACTTCCACTGTTGAGTAGAATGAAGATTCTTTGCTTAGAATAAATATTCTTCTTTTTCTTACATCATTATCTTTTACTATCATGAGCAGCGACATATTATACCCAAAAGTACAATTAAAGCCCTCACTATGTACAGGTAAGTCCTATGTTTAAGGAGGTACGTAGTGAGTGATAATGATTACAACTGAGTGGTCCATGGGTAAGTTAAGTTGTGGTTGCTTTCAGTTTGAAGTTCTAATTTACCACTCGTAGCCAATGGAAACGTTTGCATTCATGTATGCAAAGTGCTTTGCCCCCTTCCTGCTGGAGAAACAAGGGAGTGGAAGGCAGGACTGCACGGCTGGCGGAGGGCTGGCCCTCGCCGGGGAGCTGGGGCCGTCTGTGATCTCATGCTATCATTAGTGTTTAATTAAAGCTGCTCATGTGGTCGGCATGCTCACATCTGTGTGTCATTTCCTGAAGGCTATTTTCTGTATGATCACTCCAGTGGGACGCCTCCTTTTTTAAAAATAAATTCTCCTTCTTTTCATCTTATCATTTTTCATCACGTGTTTTTTACATACCAATCTTATCCTTTGTATTCAAAGATATTATAAGCTGTTTGAAGAAAAGAATAGATTCCCATTCATTCGTTGTCTCCGCTGAATTTTTTTAAAATCTTGAATATAGCAATACCCTCTATTAATCAATGAAACTTGAAAAAAAATCCTATACCTGAACAACTTTTATCAAATACATTAATAATTATTGCGTGGTAATCTCCTTTTTCTACCAGCTACTGACATAAAAATGTTCAGTGTGTGCATTTTTTAATCACATTTTTGCCTCAATTGAGAAACACATTCCAGCTGTTACGCAGCTCCTGTGAGGTGAGATCTTGAGCTTTTTAAATGACTAAGCTATTCCAATGAAGAATAAAGTTTTCCAAGAATTTCGTAATGAACAAGTCAGAGTTTATTTGATAGACTTTCCTCACTAAGAGCAGAGTACAATTAAAGCCCTCACCATGTACAGGTAAGTCCTATGTTTAAGGAGGCACGTAGTGAGTGATAATGAGGCATCTTAAATAAACATCATCTGTTCTGAGAGGTGAGACACTTTTGGAGGTGGACCCTCACTGAGCCTGGAATTGTACGGAAATGCCATTGTGCATGTGGCCCGGAGAAGGTCAGAAAGGGACCATGGATGCCAGAGCAAATTCATTTTGTTTTAGTCAGGTATATTCAGTGCTAGATTTAGGCAGTTTGACCTGGCCTGAATAACATTTAAATGACACTTTGTTTTCAAGGTTCCTCCCACATATCCCTTCCAAGGCTGTGGGACAAAAACCTAAGGAGAATCTTTGTTTTAAACCTTGAAACCATAGTGTCAAGTGAAGTAACTGAGACGCACAAGCTTAAATGTTGAATGCTTCCCCATTAATGAAAAATATAGACAATAGGAAAAAAGAGAAAAGAACTGTGCTCCAGAGAGAATGATACATCTAAAAGTCTGGTTTATCATCTGTATACATGATAATTAAATTTATATGGCCTTATAAAATTAACTGAATCTGATGCTGGAAAAATAAAAGGAAGGTGGAGGGAAGGGGAAAAGGGAATTAAATATGTTATATTAATATCAAATTAATACTCATTAAATATGTTATAAACATGTGATGTTCATATGGACTGCAAACATTTACTAATAAAAGATAAAAAATTGTAAGCTTTAGCCATCACAAAGCAGAGCTTTACTTCTAGAAATACTCAGCTGGGGAGATGGCTCAGTGGAATAAGTGCTTTCCTGGTGAGCACAAGGGCCTGAGTTCAATCCCTGGTCCCACAAGAAAAGACCCCCCCCAAAAAAAAACAAACAAAAAAACACTCAGCAAAGAAAGAAGAATAGTACTTTAAAAAGTGCATTATTCAGACTCTCTAGAGGCCTCTGTTCTAGTCTGTGGCTAGCATTGCCTCTGCAGACTTTCAAACACACTGAAACTTGCTGAAATGGTTCTAGTAAACTCTCCCATCTTTTACAAGTTATGTGATAATAATTACCTGATGTAGCATTCCAGTTATCAAAAATCATTATTCAAAAATAATTAGTAATTAACTGAAAAATGTCACAATTATAGTATCTCCAGAATTTGTGCTTAGCACAAATTGTTACTTGTTTACAAAAATCAAATGTCTACTAATTCTCCTTGTTTTGGGACTCTGTTCTTCCTGCAGAAGATGCTTCACAGGCCTGTCTTACAGAGAAGTGGTCTTTAATCCTGGATTGCAGTGGGCTGACCTTTTATGACTATTCTGGAGTCTCCATGCTCGTTGAGGTATTTTCCAGAACCTCCATGTGGACTGATTTGTTCCTTTCACTTGAGGAGCAGGGGTTTCAGCAGCCACACTCTCAGCTCCATAGCCGGGGTCTCCTACAATACTTATTTCCCCACAAAGGTCAGGCGCCTTTGCTTTACATCACTGTAGATTTGCTCTCAGGAGATCCTGTCAATTGTCAGGGCGTATAGGTGTGAAGCCAGGGTTGGGGTGTTTTCGTGAGTATCACAGGACATAGGTTTGAGATGTGCTAGACATTGTATTTGCTGGACACAGTACTTATAGAGCTTCTAGACAGAAAAAAGAAAGAGGAAGGAAGAAAGGAAGGAAGGAAGGAAGGAAGGAAGGAAGGAAGGAAGGAAGGAAGGAAGGAAGGAAGGAAGGAAGTCCTGTCCCTGGCATGCGCTCTGTGATAATGAAATTGCATTGATGACACCAGTATGTTGTTCCATATCACTGCCAGTTTCATTTTGGTCTAACATTGTCCCTGGTCTTTCAAAGCACTATTTCTAACTTTTTGAATTTAAAGAAAAACTGGGCTCATTTCTGGGAATTTTTTCTTCTCTTTGAGTAAGCATTAGTCCACAAGGAACTTGTTTCTTCCTTGTTTCCTAGAGTGCCCTCCCTTAGTGTACTCATTTAGGGTGGGGCAGCCTCTGTTCCTCGATATCCTCACGTCCCTTCAAGCTCTGTGCGTGTGTCCAGCACCTCGTCCTCTTGTGCCTGGTCCCCATGAGTTTCCTTACCCTGGGCTTCTGAGCCTCGCTGTGTGTGGTTTCACATTCAGCCAAAGCCTTAAAGACAATTACAGACATCTCTGGAGCGCTTTCACTGTACAACTGACTACCTTTCAAGTTTCTCTCCACAAATCCTACCTATTCTGCCCTCTCGGAACTCCAGTTCTGTCTGCTTAGCCCAAAGAAAGCTTCTGGATGTCCCTTGGGTCCCCACATCATGTCGTGTCCCAATGCTTCAAGTCAGCTGGGTGAGCTCCAGGGTTCCTGGCCTTCTTTGTCTTTTTCTCTAGAAGCTCAGTCCTGTGTGGCCTGAAGCCATGGTCTAAGTAAGACAACTGAGCAGTGTTGGAAGGATGGGACAGTCTCGTTAGTTACTCCAGGTAGATAAAAGTAGAAATCAGACATGGACTTCTGAGGGGCTCAGGTTAGAAGCTTTGCTATTCTTTCATAAGGATTTTGATTGCTTTCTCATAATGTTGTACATTTGAGTCTACTATTCACCTGCATTTTAATTTACTTTAACAAGTTCTACCTTTTAAACACAAGATAGTATGAAGGCTAATTTCATTCTCACTCTCTTATGCTGATAAAGGCAGGTACGTGGGGAGAGAAACTGCTTAGTGGAAGTCACCCTTGTCACACCTGAGGAGTTGGGGCATCAGCTCCTTTCTCTGCATTTATTAATTCATTTGTAGAGATGAGGTGGTTTTACTTGCTGCATAAGCATATATTTTAAAAGCAAAGAAATAATATTAACAAATTAAAGTTTAAATCCTTTAGGTCTTACATGCAGTGGCTATTTTTGGCAGGTTACCCTTTTCCTTGTGAAATCAACTTTTAGTTTAGTTTTTTTGTTGTTGTTGTTGTTCACCATAAAAGTTTTGCATAATCGGGCATCAGATTCAACCTACTTTATATTTTCTTGCAACTAAAGCTGCATTGCAAACATGGTGTCTCTCTGCTCCATTCACAGCAGGTTATTTATTTGCATTTGCAGTACTAGGGATTGAACCTAGGGCCTGCCGATTGAGCTACCTCCCTAGGCCTTATTTTAAATGTTGGGATGGTGTCTCGCTATGTTGCTAAGATTCCTGGGCTGGACTCAAGCTTTCAAGTCTGCCTGAGCTTCCCAGCCATGAACCCCTTTATCCTGCTGGGAGGAATTTTGTGTTTGGCAATTCTACCTGCTGGGTGTTGCTGGGGTCCAAGGACTGCTAGATAAACTGTGCGCCTCAAGGTGATCCTGGGCCTCATTTTCCAGGCAGTCCTCTGGGTCTTAGCTCTGATCCAGAATCATTAAACATCCATTGATGTTTCCCACACAAGCAGTTCAGCACGAATTTGGAGAAACACTAGGCTAGGTGGAATAAATTGACTGATACAATTTATTTTTAAATGAGCAGAAAATGGCATTTGCCCTTGTGTATGTATTTTTCATCTATAAAAATACAAAACCAACAGTTTTAAATCAGTTTTCTCTTTCTAAGTTTCCTTATTACTCTTTGGTTTATTCCGTCAAAATTAAAGTAACATCATATGCCTTAAGAACTTAGACTTGAAAGCTCTGGTTCCGGGATCAGTCACGTATTCATTCTGTGGTCTAGAAGCAATGTATGTATTTGCATTTCTGGAAATTAGAAATGGAAAAGCCCATTGTGTCAAGTACTAAGGCTTTTATTGTAAATAACAAATTTCTAGCAGTTAGTAAATGCTCAGTGATGCTAGTCTCTATCATGTTCTTCTCATTTGAACAAGTAATTTCATGAAGGACAAAAACATCGTAACTAATACATATTATTTCTTAGTTCCAACCTCTCTAGGAAAGGGGCCAGAACAAAGAGCCACAGAGGCTCTTCAGCCATGCATATCTTCCTGCCTTCTAATGACACTCTTGGCTTGTTTCATTAGTCACTTAAGCATAGGCAAAATCTCCCAGGAGTTGTAGGTTGAAGGGAATAGGGTGACTTTTGCTTATTCTTTTACTTGGGCCACTGGAGAGGTCAGTGAACTGGATCAACAAACCACCCATAACAACATGTTTGTGCTTCATTGAACTTAAGAAAAAGCCAAACACTGAAAGGTCACCTTGAATTAATCAGTCTAACTTAACAAAAGCAGGTGCCATTCTATATCAAAGTCAGTCCATATATATTTTGTTTGCTTGTTCATATATTTGTTTGTTTGCTTAAAGTGATACAACTCTTCTTAGTTCAGAATTCTTATCACACATGGAGAAGTGCTTCCTGCTAGAAAAATGGAGAAATTTTGGTTGTGTCACATATGCAGTCATTAAAAATGCAGTCTTTTGTAACTTTCATATGAGATATAACACTATTATATAACAAAATCTGTCCTACTTTAACTAAAACTTCGATTCACCTTCACTGATTTTCATGGTGTGACTTTGTTCTGCGTGAATTTAAATCAGAGTCATACATTGGTTCTACTTCTCTGAAATTTAGGAAGACTCTAAAATGTGCCAAGAAAATCAGCATCTCGCTGATGGATCTTTATGAAGGGCAGTTGGGAGATCAGAATTGGTTTCGATGCTAGTGAGGCTGTCCATTTGTTATCCATGGGTAGGATTTAGAGTCTGTGTATATATGCTGAAATGATTGCAAGTCATTAAGTCAGCGGAAGGTCAACCCTCATCACTTTCACAAATGGGTCCTTGATGTCCAATAAAAGAAGTTCAGAACAATTTTATGTCATTACTATGTGAAAGGAAAGGTAATGCTTTAATTTTTGTTGAATACTGTGGTAAACTAGCCAGAGTTAGTTGCAATAAATATAGATCCATGACTGGACTGATTTTAGTCCTCAAAAACACTTGCCAGGTGGTGCCCCGTTGTCCTACCATGTAGCAATACCTCCCTTTGGTGGATTTACTTCACACAGATGTGCTTTTTTGAAACTTAAAGCCTCCTTCATTCTTCTCTTACCCGGTATTCTAAATTAATCATAGTATAATATTTTGATTCTTCCAGGTCTACATGGACTGTAAGGGTACAAATATGGATGTATCATTAGCCAATTGCACAGGTAGGGAGTGAGCTTCTCTGACATTGGACACAATCCTTCTGCTATTCCACGTTTCTTCATGTCATGTGTTCTTTCTTATAGATTCTCTGATAAAAGCAATGAAGTATTATGGAAATCTAGACTCAGAGACCCCAATTTTTTTTGAATCAGTATCTGCTGCAATAAGTAATATCTACTCAAATAAGGTGAGTTTCTCTCCTAAGGCAGAGGTAGGAATCATGTGAAAAACCAGAACGTAAAATAAAGGGGATTTTAATTTTTTTGTTAATTTTTATCCTACTAGCATCTAAAATAGCTCCTTTTACCTAGACTTCTCTGCTGCAAGTAAAGAAATATTTGCATCTTTATTTTTTACTATTAGGAACAGCTGTTTAGTAATTTATTATTAAACACATCATCGCAATAATAGCACTGCTTGGAGGATTTAGTGATCATCTATCAAGTGGATAAGACTTGCTTAAAGCTTCTTCCATGACACACACTATCCTGGATTTTTGCATTCTTTTCTCTCAGATGCACAATTTCTAAATATAGCCTTTCAGTCTGTGTCTGTTCTCTTACTTTTGCCTCTAACCAGTGGCAGTAAGCCTATGGCACGTGTGCTACAGTAGACTGCTGTATCCTTGAAAGCTTGAAAAGGTTTTCCATTCCTGCCTCTAAGCTTATTTTTGGTTTCTTTTTTCTTTCTTTCCTTGTTTTTTTTTTTTTTTGAGAAAGGTCTCTCTGTGCAGTCCAGACTGACCTTGAACTCACTGTGTAGCCAAGGCTCCCTTGAACTCATAGCGATCCTCCTGCGTCAGCTTCCCAAGTGCTGGGATGGCAGGTGTGCGCTACCACACCTAGCTGTCGATGCTTACTTTGACTGCCATTGAAAACATTAGCGTTCACATGATTTGAGGTGTGAAAACTTGCTTCCAAAGACTGAGCTTTGAAGTTTAATTTTACAGCTATTCCCCCAAATATTATTTCTTTCAAGTTTTCTTTGACTTTTGAATCATGTTGTCACTCCTCATCCCTAGAACGATATTTGGTGCTTGCCAAAGATGTCCATACTATATGCAGTCAGAACAGTATGTATTTTAGAAAATAAAAAAAAATTGTTATTATTACAATTCCTAACTTGTACTGAATTCTTACCATGCTCCAAGGGCTGTTCTAAAGCACCACTTATCTTTTTTAAAAAATAATTTTTATTCATTTTAACGATAAAAAAGATAAAATAGTGAAGAAAGTTTCAAAACAGGTTAGCAGGATGGTTACAATAATTGACACATTTCATATTGTTGTCTTCATAGTAGTTATTAAGAGGACAAGATGCAGACATGATATCTTGTCTAAACCACATTAGTATAAACTTTTATTCTCAGTGAGCTAAGAGAAAGTAGCTATATATCTATCCTCTCTTGTGTATAGTATTTTTCCCACTTTTTTCCATAAAACTTTTATTTACACTTTTATGAAGTTAGTAATTCATGACACTAGGTTGCTTAGCAACTGATAGCAAACCTTAACCAGACAGGATGTTCATCTCAGGAGTAAGGTAACTTGTTTGCTTTAGCACCTGTCTTAATTAACTGAATTTACCACAACCTAATGAAGAGATACTATTACTTAACCAATTTTTAGAAACAGAAAATGAGGCCCAACAACATTCCACCAAGTGGAAGAATTGATTTCAAAGCCAGCAGTCTGATCTTAGACCTACATCTTTATACCACTCTACTCGATGCCTTATAGGAAACACATTTTTTTAGTATGGATGGACTGCTGGCTGGCTTCTCTTAATACTGTTCTTTCACTGGTTAAAGAGTGGACTACATATCAGATGCTTATTTTTTTTCCTCTTCTATTTCAGAGTTTGAACAAACTCAGTGACCACACTGAAGTCTGAGATCCTTGCATGAAAGTACAGACCTTGCTTGCAGCAACTACCCCGAAGAGGCCATATACTGGCATTTTGCACCACTTTCTGTTGTTTAGGTCCTAAACGTGACTTCCACTATAAATATGATGTGATTTAGTATTGCATAGCCACTGGCCAAGATTTGTCAACAATTTTTAATGTCTTTGCTAGTAAGCAAATTTACTTAGTTATTTTATATAAGAATTAGTGTGCATTTAGTTTTAATGTACTGAAGGATAAACATGATTTTTTTTACAGTATCTTACATTGTTTTATTCCTACATTTTATTCCTAAGTTAATTTTTAAGACATAGAAACACTTTTGTCTTAGAGATTTTGGATGTTTACAAGCCATTTGTAAAACTCCAGGATTATCTGCAACCTAAAAACAATACATAAAAACAACCTAGCAAATGTGCCTAATCTCCAGCTCCTGTCTTCTCAAAGGCCATCTAAACATCAGTCTGACGAACTACTACGTTGTACAAACCAAATAGAAATACACGACACCCTGGAAGTCCCTGCTTCCTCTACCTTTCATCACATTCATTCCTGAAGTTTTCATGCCTTAACCAAGAACGTTTTCATGATCAGGAAATCAGTATCCTAAAAGCTAAGCTCTTGGCACTGCTCTGTTTTTCTAAGAATATTGGAAGTCCTTGGGCTCTTCACACAGGATAACTCTCTAATTTTTACATTTCCACTCCATGAAAATCCTCTGCTTAAGTTTGTTGGAGCTCAAGGATTTGGAAATCGCATATTTTATCTTTTTCACAAGTAGAATTTTTAGATAAGAAAGTATCACTGTGAGGCTAACCTTATGCTATCTCAGGATAGGAGTAACATTAGTAGGTTTGAACTTCCTTATTTCAAAGATACTGTTAATAAAATATATTTATCTATCTTTATCTGTATGAAGTCTCCATAGTTTGTTTTCTTTTCTTTTTATTTTTCTGTTAGTGAACATGGACATAGTGATCTCTAAACCCACCAAACCAACAGGGCACGTTAGAAATGAACACTAATGGCCATTAGGGTGAACTATAGATGTTATTGTTTCAGGTTTGTACAAATATATTTCATAGCATACTGTCAACAAAATTCCACATTTTGTATATCAAGTTGATTTGCATAGAAAGAAGACCTCTTATTTTAAAGTCACAGATACACACATGATTGTACATAATCCCTTTGGAAATTACTGGAAAGCCAAATACTTTAAAACAAGCATGAAAAAAAGGTTGGAAACAAGATGAAGAGATTGCATCATTTAGGTGCTTCCACGAATCTCTTTAAGAATCAGTTCTAGGCCTGCCACCTGATGCACTGCAATGATCCCTAGCAAATCTGTGCCAAACATTCACACGGCCTTTAGTTTTAAGATTAAATCCAAGAGCAGAAAATGTAACAAAATATTAGAAGAATAAGTATTTCAATTCTGATAGCTTATCCAGCTATTTAAAAGTTTTTGACATGAATTTCAAAGAATAGACTCAGTCCTTAAAATACCTTCAATCCTTTCATCATTTAGATTGAAATACGGGAGGTTAACTCACATTCCCAAAAAACACTGTTCCAAAGAAAGACACAGGTAGTAATATATGCAAAACTTCCTTTGAGAAAGGGATTTGAGTCTGCTTTGTCTGGTCAAATTATTCCAGTGGTGGATGGTGACAAGATTCACCATCCTTAGTCCACTAATATGAATCAAGGGAAGTCAAGAAAAGAAAATTTATTCTACTGTGTGTAAATTGATATTTTTTCTCTATGCAGCTATGGCCTATAAATGAATTCATGCACTGCAAACATTTTCTAATTTTTTAGAGATTATGGACCACAGATGGCATTAAAATTATTATAGTTAATCAATACGGATGATTTGTTCTGTTTCATTGTTAATGCTGATACAGTATCGTTTGCAAAGCATTTCAGTGTTTATATAAGAAATTTAGGAGACAAAACTTTAAAGCCAATAACTTGGGTCAAATGTTAATGTTAAATTCAAGAAAATATCAGTAGTGTATAAGTTCTTTTTCCCATGGCCTCTCCCTCACAACCAGAAGAGAGAACTCAATTCATTTGTAAGAGTTCAAAAGCTAAACACAAGTTTTAGATGCACAAGATTGTAAAGTACAAATGTTTATTTCAAAGTGGGACCTGACAACACAGAAACAATAATGTGGTCTTAATGCCAAAACATTTCTAGAATGACATTGAGTTATTTTTATAGGATCATTTTATTTTTGTATACGATAACTGACCTACATATTATCTTTTGGTAAAATAAAAGTGGAAAAAAATTAAAACGGTCATTAAAAGCATTTTACAGACCTTCTGTAGTGACCTATACAAATTAAGCCTAAAATATGTAACTAGGAAAAGATTAACATTACATTTATGGAAATTAAAGCTCTTAAATTTTACCATTTGGCTTTTATTTTAAGGGTTAATGCCCCAATTATATAATTCAAGTGTTATAGGGTTCAGCTTAAACCACTTTGAAGTAACTTATTTGACAGATCTCTTGTCTATAAATGTACAATGTAATGAGGAAAGATACCTTTCTTTTTAAATGAAAGTATAATGTGTGAATACCCTGTATTATTAATGTTTGACAAATGCAGTGGCATGGCGTAGAACACACATATGCCTAGAAATGTACGCTTTGTTTTTTGCGGACAACGATCTAATCCATTATGGAATATGCTGTGGGCAGTAAGTTTGTTGCCAGATTTCAAATAGGGAGTTAAGTGGTCCTTTCACAATCCAAAGATTTTTAGTTAAGAATTAATATAGTTTAGTACCCTGCACTTACATTTTTATATTTTTCTATGCATTTAATTATCTTTTTTATAATTCTTTGTACTAACTCGGCATGTAGCAACCAATTTACATGGAAATAAATTGAAATATGACAACCATTATGCTTAATGAATTTGTGCCCATTATTTCAGAGTATTTATTCTCCTACAAAGCAAATCATATATATTGCTTTCTTGGACTGACCACAGAGTATTATGTGTTGAAAATTCCTGGAATCACCCATTATTCCTGGTAATTTGTTCATATAAAATTTAAGAACTAATTTATGGAGTGCTGATAAGAGGACATTATTCCTTAAGGCTGTATTTGTATAATCCTCTTTACTAGGTTAGTATCCTTTTCATTTTAATTTTAGTTAATATGTACATTTAATTTTATTTTGCAAGGTTCTTCATTACATGCTATTATTTGTCTTTCCTTAGTTTCTAGGCTGAGCTCCATATTCCTCAGTATTTCTTTTTCAATACTGAGGGCTGGTTGAGCCAAGGCCTTCAGACTGAACTACATCCCAGCCTCTTGTCTGTCTTTCTTTTTTTCTTTCTTTCTTCTTTCTTCCTTCTTTCTTTCCCTCTCTCTCCCTCCCTTCCTTCCTTCCTTCTGTCCTTCCTTCTCTTTCTCTTTCTTTCTTTGTTCCTTTCTTCCTTCCTCTCTCCCTCTCTCCTCCCTCTCTCTCTTTCCCTCCCTCCCTCTCTCTCACCTACCCCTCCCTTTTGCTCCTACCTTTTACCTTCCTTCCCTCCCTCCCTGCCTGCCCCCTTCTCTTTCTCTCCCTCCCTCCCCTTTTTCAATCCAGCTCTAGCACCTCCATAATCCAGTCACTACCCACAAGTCTAGACTATGAGTGTGAGAGGATTTGAGGGACATTCAGATATAAACTGTAACACCACACCTGGGTTTCTCAACATTTTAGAGGTTACTACTTCTAGAATAAGAATAGAAAACATTATTCTATGAAATAAAGCAGTGAATAAAATAGAAATAAAAATACCTGCCCTCATGGACCTTCTAATTAGGGAAGACAGAAAATAACTAGAATAAATTTAAAGCACGCTTGTGTAAGTAGATGATGATTTGCACCAAGAAGAGCTAAGTAAAGAAAGATAATTAGAAGTACAACATAAGGTGACATAAGGTGAGTGCCGTAGTGACAGGAGTGTGATGAATAAGAAGGATTTCGGTCAGCTCAGGCTGGTCTAACAAAATCCCCAATTAATTAGATGTCCTAAACAACAGAAATTTTTTTCTTAAAGTTCCGGAAGGCTAAGCTCCTAGTAGAGCACTTGTACAACCTGCACAAGACCCTTGATTCAATCCCCATCACTGTATATATATTATAAATATAGTTCAACAGGCTGGGAAGTCCAAGGTGAATTAATTGCTTAGTTTAGGATTCAATTTCTGCTAAAGTGTCATGGCCCACAACTATGCTTGGTAGAGGACAAAGAGCATTACACAGAGACATGAGTTTAGTTCCTTCACTAAAAGAGCCCAGAGGGACTTCTTCCTCAGCATAAGATGGCTGGATCTGAGTGATCTGAGAGCTCTGTGGTTATTTATTTGTAACTTAAGAACAAAAGAACAAAGGAAGGAGAAAAGCAGCGAGAGGTAGGAAGACAACTTTCTGATACCCCTTCTTAGGACATAGACCCAAATTTCATGACCTAATTTAACTTTATTGACCTTATAGACAGTATTTCCACAGAGTCACATTATGTGCATGGGGAGGAGCACAATTCAGTCTAGAATTTGGACTCTGGTCTCTCTTCAAGACATATCTATATCACCTGTCAAATATACTCATTAGATCCTCATAGACCTTAACGGTGTCCAACATCAGCTCTCAAGTCTAACACCAAAAATCTCATCTATATACAAGTTTAGTTAATATAGGTGAGAACAGAGGCATGATTTGTCCTTAGACAAAATTTCTTCCCAGATATAACCTGTGAAACCAGACAGGCTATATACTTCCAAAATACAGTGGTAAGACAAGATTATTCATGACATTCTTATTACAAAGAGGAAAAATAAGAAGTTCTCAGAAAGTTTTAAACATAGTAAAGCAATTCCTGTTAGATTTATTAAATCTTAAAGCTTGAAAATAACCTTATTTGATTTGGTGATTCTGCACCTCTGAGCTCACTGGTGTGGCAGTCTTCCTCTCCAGGATATTCATGGTGACTACCCACATGCCTCTGTAAGGTTGCCTATCCCCAGAGCTTTGACTGAAAGTTTTATGGTCTGTTGAATCTGGGGTATTGTTCTTACTCTTTCTTAAAAAGATTAAACAGTCCTTCTGATCTCTGAATTGCCGTTGGTGTCATACTCCCTTTCCTTAAATCTATGGTTTCCCCCCATAAAAGCCAAGAAGTCTGACAGTAGCCCTTCATTTTGTCCTCACTCTGTCCCCTTCAGTTCAAACTGGCAGTGTTACTGTTGGTATAATTCTGCTTCTAATCTTGGCTACTGCTGATGTAGCTGATTAACTTCATGGTTCAAAGCCATACTGGGCTCATTATCAAAGGATTGTTCAGCTACACCCTTAGTATTCGGCTCAGACCAAAGCTTCTCATTTTATGCAATGTAGATATGTTGAAGAAGTTCAAATCTTCAAATCATGTTTCTCTTTCCTGAATAATTCATTTTCAATTCATCATCTTCCTCTACATTTTACTATAAGCAGTTAGGGAGAACCAACCCACTCGTTCAGTGATTTGCTTAGGAATATCATCCCCTCAGCTGAATATCTAAGTAGAATCATTTGCAACTTACACATTCCTCAAAACCCTAGAACACAGTTCAGCCAAAAATCTTGATATCTTTATAGTGATGATGTTGTTTCCTCCCATTTCCAACAGCGAATTCCTCGCTTCTGTTGGAGACTTCAATAGCAGTTTCTCATAGGTCTGTTCCTATCAGCACTTTGTTCTTGATTATTTTATTAAGAAGACAAAGAATCATTCTCTAGTTTCCTTTTCTCCTTTGAGCCACTGTTAGTCAACTTTCCCATTACTGTTCACAAATTAACCCACAACATTAAGAAGAGGTTTAATTTAGCTCATGGTATCAGGGGATTCAGTCCGTG